TCGGATTCGACTGTAATTGGTCAATTTCTTACGGCTTGAGACTTAAAACACCTATTGTAGATCCGGGATTATGACAGATATCTTAACCTCTCTCGAACTTACCTTTAATCTTTAACGGTTAATAACTTGTTTCGCGAGGCATGTCGCATTTTTTTTGCCGGAATCTTTCGTTTTGAGTGAAAATGCATCGAATTAGTATTATACATTTTTATTAAGATTGGAGGTGAGAAGAGCATTTTATATAATTACCAAAGTGGAAAGATAAGGGATAAATAATAAGCCATTATTTCGAAACAAGAAACTACACTACATGACACTGCACTATGTCGGATAAAAAAACTGTATTTGTTACAGTTGGCACAACAAAATTTGATGATTTGATAACTACAGTATTGAGTCGTGCAGTTCTGGAGGTAGTGTAAATAGTATTTACATTAGGTCTGTTTGAATATCTGTCCGCGTTGTTTGCACTTCATGCATTCAGAATCTTCGCTTTCTCTGTCTCTTGAACGCCCGAATACATATTTATCTCGTTTTAAGTGCAAAATTTTTTGAGAATTTTAAGCAACGTGAATAAACCTATTTTATCATTATTTACATTGATCTTTTTTGCATACTATAGCATTTGATCATCTGTTCTTCATTGCATTTGTATGTATATCTGTTAGAGAGCTTACAATTAATATTGCTATTCTAGGCCCTATCAGCACGTAATTACAGGCATCTAATCTTGCAAATTGGCAATAGCAAATTAGAACCGGATTGTACTGCACGTTATGGCTTCCATAAGATAGAAATTTTTAGATTAAGTCCATCCATTGGAGAATATCTGCAACTGACAGACCTTGTGATAAGCCATGCAGGTGCAGGAAGCGTGCTGGAAGCTTTAGAAAGACGCAAACACTTAATTGTGGTGACCAATGATCTCCTCATGGACAATCATCAGATTGAACTGGCTGAGCAGCTGTACAAAGACGAACATTTGTATTATTGTACTTGTAAGAATTTGTTGCACGTCATACAAACAATGGACCTTGCAAAGTTAAAGCCATTTACCAATGACAATAGTGCAGATATTGCTAATTTTATTGATAAAGTAATGGGATTTAGGTGACAGTGTTGAGGCTGTTTTGCCTTTTTTTTTAATATAGGAAGAAACTGCTTTATATATTAAAAAAAAGTCAAATAGCTGTGGGAACAAGCAGCAATATTTATATATATATTTGAATTCTTAACATGTTTTACAATAAAGATACATATTTCATAAAGTTTAAATTCATTACTATAATATATTATATGCTTGATTTAATTTACAATAATAATACATTATACACTTAAACAACCGTTTCTCAGAACTATGTTTACATATTATAGAAAAAATAACTCTGCAATTAGTTCAATTGCGACAGATCATTGGCAGTTTTAACGTTCCCTTAGATAATTTGTAAATTATTATTGGACAATTGTTTTGTTTACTATTAACATAACAATTAATTCTGTAAAAATATCATAAAAATTGTTCACTGTTAAAATAAGTCTAGTTCTTTAAAAAATATTATTTTTAATGTAATTTTCAGTATTGATCAATATTTTGTCATTGAGAATAATTGATGCAATATTAGCAAGTGAAATAATTTTTATACTCTAATACACTACTATGTTCTGTGAGTTATTGCTGTATGGCATACTTTCAATTTATTTTCCACGAAGACGTTTTACACGGATATGAAGGAAACTACACAGAATTATAGTAGTGTGTGATTTAATTGATTAAGCCAAGCCGTGTCATTTCCTTTAGAAGTTCATTACCCATTTGTGCAGGACTCCTTGTTACTATTACACCAGCCTGATAACAGAACCCATGTATATATTACTTAATATTCCAAAAATTATTTAAAATATAATATTAACGATATATGAGCATAAATGGTATATGAATAGAAATTTTGATTTACTTTCTCGAGTGCATTAATTTTATCTTGTGCGCCACCCTTTCCTCCTGAGATTATAGCACCAGCGTGTCCCATTCTTCGTCCAGGTGGTGCTGTAAGACCAGCGATAAACGATACCACTGGCTTAGCTTTTCCACCCTACAATATATAACATGTATTTAGTGAATAAAATATGACATACTAATCCTATGATAGGATTTTCAGGACAAAGGTAAGATGGGATTAGATTAGGTTGGATCATGTGGGATTTGGGTACCAATAATTTTGAACAGAAACCAACAGTATTCTTTTCGATGAGATACTCTGCTGCAAATTCCTCTGCACTGCCACCAATCTCTCCTATCATTATAATACCACCGCAATCTGGATCGGTAAGAAATACATCCAAACAATCAATGAAATCAGTACCATTGAATGGATCACCACCAATACCAACACATAATGTTTGCCCAAGTCCAGCCTTCAAAGAAAATATTGTTAACATATTTGACATTTTATAAGTATACAACCTTTATATATATATATATATATGTAATACCAATCTTTCCTTTTTGATGTATATGACCAGGCATAATACCAATTTTACACTACAACATTACACATAAAAAAGAAAATTATATTTCACATTATCAATAAATTTGTAATTTGTCTAAAATTATTTCTATACCTGTTCAGGTGCTATTATTCCCGGGCAGTTTGGGCCAATTAAACGTGACTTATTTTGTTCAAGTAATCGTCTTTTTACTTTGACCATATCGTGTTGAGGAATACCTTCCGTAATACAAACAACTAATGGCATTTCTGCATCAATTGCTTCCATAATGGCTGATGCTGCAGCAGGAGGAGGAACATAAATGACTGTTGCAGTAGCCCCAGTAGCTTCTTTCGCCTATAAAGTATCACAGATAATTTAAATATCATAGCTGATAAATAAATAAATATTGTAAAAGAGTAATACTACCTCCTTAACAGATTTATATACTGGTTTACCAAGATGTTCTACTCCAGCCTTCTTAGGACTAACTCCACCTACTATCTTTGTACCATAATCAAGTGCTTGCTGACAATGGAAAGTCCCTTGCTTTCCAGTAAAACCTTGACATATCACTTTGGTGTTTGCATCAATTTTTAAATTCTTCCTAGTTTCTGTATAATTAAATCTCACCTGGGAACGTAATAAACTTCCACAGTTCTTGACTGAAACATTATAAAAACATAATAAATATATATAGGTAAATCCAATATAATAAAATGAAGATACATGAAAGAGAGGAAAGGATAACTAGGGTATATTTATTAACTAAAAATGTCACAAGTATGACATCATATAGACTTTAATATCAATATGCAAATTAAAATAAAAAATTATGTATAAAAATATATATTAACAATACTACATACAAGTTAAAAATAAAAAGGTATGTTGTCTTTTAGCATTGTGACAGCAAAATTTCTAGGTCAAAGTTCACTTGCTGTTACAGATTATCCAATGAATGTAATTTGACATTTATACTGGCATAAAATAACGAACAGAAGATACCTACATAAAATATGCAATTTTCTAAGAAAAATATGGAAAAGATTAAAGCATATGAAAGAAAAGGGGAATCGCTAACCCTAGCTATGTGTGAGTTATCGTTACAGGGGAAGGGTCACGAGAGCATTACTGTGAGAACAAATCATCCAATTGCTTTGCATATGAGCTCGTAGATCGTTCCTAATTAGTAAAACACGCATTTCCCGATAAGGCGCAATTCAGTCGTAATTATGTCTTCCCTTATATAATGAAATGTTATCATAAATGCGAGCTGTCAGCATTATTTTTAGTCTGTTCATAGGCTGCGCATGGCGTAACCAGTGGGAGAAAAAATTTCGAGAGTATTGCCGTTAAAATGTGTAAAAGTCAAAGAGAACATCGAGAACGATGTAACGCGAGGATATTACGGGACGTACGAGGATACGCTGCGAAGACCCACCAGCGAATTTTGAAAATGACCTGGCAGCCACAGCCATCTCTTAGTTTGTCCTTTCCGCTGAAGAGGCAATGCTCAAAATTGAATTAACACCGGAGCACCATTGAAAGTACTAGTCACTACAATCTAACAAGAAGGTCAAGTCCAGGAAAAGATACAGACAGGAGCGCGAAGTTTGCCCGGTTGTGCCACGAACTTGCGAGAACGTTGAATCGAGAATCGTGCCTCGATCGCTACGGTTGGATTCGGGGAGACGCTATTAGCGCTGTTTGCGACAGCCAATCTGGGGCTCTATTCTTGAAAAGCAACGTATACGAAAGTCTAGGGAAATGCTACAGTATATGTTACGTATACTGTAGTATTTCCCTAGACTTTCGTATACGTTTCTTTTCAAGAATAGAGCCCCTGAAGCTTGCATTTTGAAATCAATGCTTCGTAGCAGACTCAACAATTTTGCAACCGTTTTGTGATTCTTCGCTGTGAGATAGGACTATTCCTTTAAATCTAAAAGTATAATCCAATCAGCGCGACGAATTATAAAACGGTTGCAAAAGTGCTGAATCTGCTGAATGCAGCCATTGGCTATTGCAACAAACTTGAGATTAGCTTGCAACTATTGTAGAACCGGCTTTAGGATTGTTCGCGTCGCATGCTCCAATATGTTCCAATATGCTCCTACCATAGCTCCTACTCACTCTATCAAGCGCGTTGGAGTGAGTAGGAGCTATGGTAGGAGTATGTTGTAACATGTTGGAGCATGCGACGCGAACAAACCTATAGACAATGGACTGCACGATTCGTATCTAATAGCGTTTTCGACCTGACCAGGGTTGAATTAATGGCGTTTTGTGCTCTCCTATTGGTAGAGTGGGTGACGTCAACCAATAGAAAAGATTAATCCAACCCAGGTTGATGCAAACCCGATCGGGCCGAAAACGCTATAGGTTTGTTCGCCTCGCATGCTCCAACATGTCCTAACATACTCCTACCATAGCTCTTACTCACTCTATCAAGCGCGTTGGAGTGAGTAGGAGTATGGTAGGAGCATATTGGAAGGGGTAATCCCGATTGACCACGGCTCGATTGGACACCACCAATCACAGCGACCGGTGCTTCGGAGCTTTGTAGTCTTAGGCGTCGTCTACAATACACGGAGTAAGAAGTAAGAGTAAGAAATTGACCAATCACAGTCGATTATTCTT